CATGGACAGGTGAAGCTGCAGAGCATAACTTTTATGTAGAAATGTTTTTCCCACACTTTTGTTAAAACTATCACTACATTGTGGCAGTGTAATACGAGACAGATAATCAGATAATAACCCTAACCCCACCGTCCTGTTTTCCTGCTGGAAGGTAAGATTCTCACCTCCGTCGATGGCAATCTAACCATCGGGAGGAACGACGCGCCCACATATCTGTGTGCTGTAATGCTTCCTCAGGTCACCAGGGGGCAGAGGAGGCACAGACAGGACAACATGGAGATGCTCGAGTCCAACATGTCTGCAGCTGGAGGAGAGACGACCGAGGAGGAAGGAGCTCAGGAAGAAGAGGAAAACCCTGTAGAAGCTCATCTCACATCCAGATGAATCCATCAACCAGAGCACAGCACCTGTATTTACATGTATAAATACAGTATAATATATACTTTCTTCCCTTTAATTTTTTTCTTTGAAGTCAGAAATAATTTCCTAAATTCTGACAGCACTTTGAAATCTGACAAACAAAAATTGCCACAAGAACCACTACATTCATAGTCAGATCACTGCTGTGCTGTTAGTTGAGGTTTTGTGGACTGCAAACACATAGTTAAATTCTGAGTCACTTTTTTATTAACTTCCATCAAATGTTAGCATCCAATTTATTAATAATGGTGTATTTAGACATAGATAGGAATGCATTTATCTGGAAAAGGAGTGGGAAGAAGACACATTTATTCACCCCCACTCAATAATATTTAGTGTTTTGTACATGTTTTTTCATGATCCATTTTTTTTAAATGCTCCTGGTGTCACTCATAATGTTCCCACCAAATCGATATCTCAATCATGCATTATATGTCATGTATTAATTATATAATTGTGTATGTCTGCTTTTCAATAATGAATGAAATAGCATTTAGCAATTCTATTAAGGTATTGATGCAACTGTAATTCTGAGTTTTGTATGTTGTGCATTAGGACATATTGGTGTTATGTTAACCCAGCATCTACTAGCTTAGCATGTAGTCATGGTCAATAATCACACACCTAATATTCTTGGTTTTTACACGTTTTGATTGTCGCATTTCTGGAATTTTGAACCATACAGTATTGATTTTTCATCGTCGGCTTGATTTTTGCTAAATAAATGGCTTGGATTAAATTTGTGTTGTGGTGTTTTGTACATTCATCCAATAGAAATAGCCAAAAACAGATAAATCATATTTTTTCTTAATGTGCCAGACTTTCTTCTTACTTGTCTCATAAGCTGGCAGATTATTGTAATATTTTGGAATGCGATTGATCAATAGATTTTCCAGGTGCTGTGAGGAACAAAGTTCCTAAAGACTTAAAAATACCTCAAATTGGCAAACACTTTGACTAGGGAGCTTTTAAATAACCAGAAACAATTTGGCAAAGATCTTAATGACACATCATGACAGTTCTATGGAAAGCGTGTTGCATGGTGGCTTAATGCAGGTAAATGTCAGAACTCAAGCACTAATCCTGGTGTGTTTGCTTTAAGCTCTCCTGTGCCTCAGACGGAGACATCAAGGACAATTCAGGTAAAATGTTTGTATCACGTTGTGACGCAATGAGCGTCTTGAATAAGTTGCTTTTCCTAGAACTGATTTTGTCAAGATATTATTTTGACAGCCCTGTTTTAGAGAGAGCTTAGGACATTTATGCACTGGATGTTTTTTTTTTTTTTTTCCATGTCTCGCCACAGATCATTTACTTGATTTAGGTGTAGTTCTTTCATTCTAAAACATGAAAATGCCTTTTTTTGAAAGGCATGTTCAAAAAAGGCATGTTTTTTTGAACATTGCTCTGCACTACAATTTTCACCTTACTATTGTTACTGAGGAAAATAATTTATTTTTGTTGAAGGCACGGGGTTCTTTCTCATGAAGAGCAGAAACAAATATGTTTATTATCTTAATTAGGGCAACACAAATAACAAGGAAGTTCAGCAACTATTTATAAAAACTGTATACCTTAAAATGCTGATTCATTGTAGAGCAAAGCAAAAGACAAGATAACATTAGTAGAAGTGAATAGATGAATAAAAGTGCCAACATCCTCCTTGTCCCTTGAATGCAGTTTTACCAACATTTTATTGGTATTACTTATTTTTTACTATTGATCTCTCAGTGTTTGTCAGGTACTATCAGACACACTGACTGTAAACTCTGAAGAACAAATTCTATTTGTAAAGCAGAGCATCGTTAGTCCGTAAACCTGGTTCTAGTTCATACACATCTTTGTAGTGTAGACTGGTCTGGTCCGTACAAACGTCTTCAACACCAACCCAGTTCAGTTTCTGTGTATCTTCCATCATATTTTCTCTCGTGATCAAATAGAGTCAACAACGGCAGATTGTTATGGGTTCTGCTCCAATCGAAAGCTTTAGTTTGGATCCACCGTTTGTTTTATATGTTCAGGAAAGAGACTAAAGAAAATCAAAACACAGATACCTCTAGATCAGGACAAAAGCATTTTTCCCCCTGCTATTTTAAGTTCATAAAGCTTTTCGAGTCTATACCACCACCAGAATATCTAACAGAATGAATTTACATCATTTGGACATTTCTTCACACAGTTACCATAACTGATTTGAACAGTAGCAAACCCATTATCACACTTTAAAAAGAAAATCCACACTTTAGCCTAAAATAACAGCAAACAGGGTCCATGTCTAAGTTTTCTTTTCCTTTTTGAAGACGTTTCCATCAGGCTGATTTCTCCAAGACAGGGTAACTACACTCACTCCAGTCTCCTGCAGTCTGTTCTGGAGCTGCAAGACAAAATTAGAAAAATAAATTAATTGTATCTTTCCATTTACACATTGGATTTTGTTCTCATGTGAGGCGTAATCATTTGTGCACTGCAAACAGTTCTGCAAAACTTGCCTTTGTCAAGATGATTCCTCTCAGAACAGGGTCATTCAGGTCCACAGAGTTGTCCGTGTGAAGTCTCATCTTCACAACCTGTTTTTTCCCTGATTTGAAAAAGTAGCATAGCATTAGCTTGTTTATCCATTTTAGCCATGTTCCTAATTGTTGAAATAAAGATGTATGAAATACATTGACGTATATCAGTTTGACATTAGTCATTTTAATTAATGATGTCTCAACCCAATCTCAAATGTCCATCATTGCATTTTTTCTTTTAAATAGGACAGTTACTGCTACGCCCTGACAACAAACTTGTTAGTTTAGACGTGCGGGCTAATCTTTGCTAATCAAAGTCGATTTACATTTGGTTAACAGGACCATACAAGTTTGTTTGTTGAACAAGTTTTAGTTTTTTTGTCTAGTATGCGAGTGGCTTTCCCCTATTTTATGGATGTTTCAACATTTGGTGTGCCGTTGTTTCGATAAGCTTCTGTTATATCGGCAGATTCATTTACATCTGTTATTGCATTCATATTTCTAACTATCCAATACAAAGATCATATTGACAACTATCCAGTATGAAGCATTGTGAAGACATTATGGCTTTAACCTCTATAACCTGTGTTGGATCAAAATATTGGAACTGACTTGTAGAAACTCCCCTTGGGAAAAAAAATCTACTTTTTGAAAGACTGCTTAAATGTAATGAGTTATTAAAAGCATAAATCCTTTTATCAGACAGGAACTCGGTATAGGAAGTGTTGAGGAAAAATGATTATTTTTAGTGTTTAATACAGTTAATCTTACGGCATGTGTAAAAGGTATATTGAACATTCTTATTTTGAACAAATTTCTTAATTTTGAACAGGTTTGTGTTAAGGATTTAAAACTAAACTATTGATGGGTAAGTATTCAAAGTACAGGAAGGAAAATGCAGATCAAAGGGGATCTCTCACTGAGGCTCCTGTTGTGTTATCAGAGGACAGGAGGCCATAAAATTAGCATCTCCTGGAGGGCAGTATCACTTGAGCCTGGAGGAGAGCAGTCTGTTTAGTTCACAGAAGATCAAAAGTATTCCAGAACCAACATCTGGGATGGTGTAAAACTGAATACAACATAGAATGTTAGAACCACTAACATTTAATTTCTAAGACATTTTTCTAAGTACTAATAGCATGTTTTTTTAACGAAAATTGTATTATCTAATTTTAGAACTACTAATCTAGTAAATGATGAATGTATTTGAAAATTGTACTATCTGTGACAATATCAGAATCAAATGGAAATTGTTTGAAGGAAAATGTTTTGTTTAGTATTAGAAAATCGCTCAGGATTTATGTTTCATAGGTTAGAAAAAGGAGTTGTACCTCATTTTGTTCTGTTGATTTTATGTGTTATTTTTGGTTTAAGGCAGGACTCAATCTTTTGGGGTGCTGAGTGCAGAAGAGCAAAACTGGGTTTGTGAACCAAATTACTGGATTTAAGTTTGTCCTGAGAATTTATGTAAGGAGAGATAACGGGAGAGACTCCGGATTCCACAGCTATCTGTGAAATCTTATCTTATGTTTTTCTTTACCCAAATGACCGTAGAACCCAGAGGGCCAGGACAAGCTCTTCGCTCTTTTGTTGAACAAAAGAGCAAATGGCTTTTGATCTTTGCCGTAAATTAGGGGGAGTTCTAAGTTTTTCTGAGTGTCCAAGGTAGCTTCCAGTTGGTCAACCAGAGGTACGCCTTAATTGAATATATTAAAAAGGAAAGACACACCTACATTATAAAAGTTCGTACACAGGAGCAATAAGTCAGATAGCTGCCACTATTTTGCCTTTTCTTTTATCTTTTTGTCTCAGGTAATGAATGTATGTTTCTGTTGTTCTGCAGTTTCTGGTGTAAGTTTGTGCATTGTCTTACTTGTAAGTTTATGCATTGTCTTATATTGGATTAAACTCTGTAATTCTGTGACGTCAACACGCATTGTTGTTTCCTTGTGCCTACACGTGGCCTGCCGAGAGGACCTGGGATCTAAGGAAGAGAGAGAGAGCCAAACTTTTTCCAAAGTTAACCAATTTAGAATTTCTTCCTTAACAGAAGATGCCCATTCTTCATTCTGTCAGACTGGACAAAATCATCCTGATCAGGACACTCCTAATGCTTACAAAATGGAGCTTCTCGCCTCCTCTTCTTTTCTTTCTTTTGACTTTAAACCACACTCACCAGGACGGTCAAAACAGACGAAAGGTAATCTTGTTTCGCAGGGCAAAAACTTCCATCTTCCCGATTTCCCAGAAGATGTAACACCACATATGACTGGCATCGATCCAATCATGGTTGGAGCAGAATCCCAGCTGGTAAAGTTGACACCGCTCCCATCAGACCAGTGAAGATTTGGATCTCTAAATAGACCAATCCAATGACGGTATCCACCGAGCGTGGAGACCTGGATCTTCTGGTAATCTGTGTCATTCTTGAAGATGGCGAGGTCGATGAAGTTCTTTCTGCAGTACGTCTGAGCATCGGACCAGGATAATGGTTCTTTCCCAAAAACAAATTCAGGGTTCGCATGTGAGCCTGTAGTTGAAGGGAATAGAGGACAAAGGGAGCAGAAGTTCTACATTTTACAAAAATGCTTAAAGGAATGATACTTAACACTGTAGTTAATATTTACCTTTGTAACAAAGAAAATATCGTCCGTATGGACACCTTTCAGTAATCCAGCCCCCATCGTAGTGGAATGACACACATAACTCGTCTGGTTGATCAAAACTAGGTTCACTGGATGAAGTTTTCCAGTGTCTGTAGTCGGCTCCGCTCCCCGTGAGGCCATCGGACCATCTCCAGTCGATTTCACTGAACAGACCAATCCAGACATCAGAGGTGTGACCAGCAGATGAAAGAGTGTTAATAAACAAGTTCTGTTCATCTGAGCTTAGAAAGGTTGCCAGGTCTGTGTGGGTCTGTCTGCAGTAGGTCTGAGCTTCAGTCCAACTCAGAGACTGATTAACAAAGTGGTAGACAGGCTGAAGACGGAGGCAGGTGAAGAAAATGACCCCATCTGGAAGGTAAATACAATTTTTTTTTATTTTGTTTTAACTATCTCCAGATGAAAAGATGAAGTCACTGACCTGAGAGAACCAAGATTCCCAACAAGAGCCTCTCCATCGTGATGCTGCTCAGCAGTAGAAAGTCCTGAGGATCTCTGAAAAGCGATCTGTCTTTTTGCTTGACATAAGGATAACCTCTTCTGTTGACTTGTGCAGAAATGCAAATTTTTCTTCACTCCCTAAACAAATATTCCTCATTAGAAAAACAAACACAGTCATGAATGACAAATTAAGCTGCCAATGTGACATTGAGAGTCTTTGTTTACAGGTAATCATAGCTCTTATCTAGGGTCATTATGGAGCAACTTGCATTGTACGTTTTTTATTAAAAAAAAAACTGGAAATGCAAAACAATTTAATGTATTAATAAAATTTAGATGAAAACTAATCATTCCATGTAGCCACTGAATTGTCATTGACTCATTGACAAAGTGATACTGACGGACGAGGCAGCTGCAGAGGACGAGACATTCTGGAATATGAATATAAATTCATGAGAATACAGGATGTGACACTAATATTGAGTCAATTGTCTGTTGACATGCAAAAAGGCTTTCAGTGACAGGCCATGGGAAGATTAGATTAGATTAGCAACATGGTTACTTGATTATACTGTAATCAAGTAACCATGTAGTCATACTTGATCATTACTGTGCCGTTGTCTCGTGTGGACGTGTCATGTTCGGAACTGGGAGAAACTGAACGTGGAACGTGAGTCGTTTCACTGAACACATGCTGATATTTGCTTGTGTGACAGCAGAAAAGCTAATGTTTCCATTTTTGGTGTGCGAATCTGCAGCTGAGACGGTCTCACCAGTACTGGTGTTTTACTCAACTGGTGCTTTGACTTTCACCTCCATCCTGAGTGTTTTACTAATCTTAATACTGTACAAGATGAATGAGAGGGCCATCAATTTTTTATTCTTTTCTGTTTTCGATTTACTAAACCAGATTTTGTGTCTTTCACAGAGTTTAAAGTGAGTCTTTCAGCTGACCAGGCATTAAATAAAGAGGTAATTGCCAAATGTTAAACTGACATACAGACGTAGTAAAAAAAAAATAGCTACACACCATGTCAGTTATAGATTTAATGTCATCTCAAGCAAACAAACCGAGACACCAGTTATTTTTCAATAATATACATTCACAAAAACAAAACAAAACAAAAAAATTCAAAATATACGTCACAAATTTAACTACCCAAATAATTATGCAGAATTGAAGAGCTATTTTGTTTCAGAGGAATTAATTTTTTTTTAAAATCACTCTAGACTGGAAGTCACAACCAGTTTCTGTTAAGTATTGAATTATATTTCTCTGGACCTCTGTTACGGCCCTGGGCCTTATAGCTGGGTTGCGGTGTTTTTGTTGACTGCCTTTTGCTCCCCCCCTTCACAGGTGTTTCTGATCTGTTAATTTGGAGACCAGATTATTTAAACCTGGACTCTCCTTCGGCATCCATTTGACCTCCTGACCCCTGTGGTGCGCTGCTGTCGGGCCTCAGCTCCCCTCCTTTTGCACATTTGAGTTTCTTTGTTTTTGCACCAAGACACTTCCATATGCACACACACAACATATCCAAGAATTTGCATTATGCCACTGACACTAACATTCATAATCTATTGTTGTTTTGTTACTATTCCTTTTTCTGCCCTTTGGCCACTGCATGGTTTCCCATTTTTGTTGTGACCTTGAGCCAGTCGTAACAACATCATAGAAGTAAAGAAACAGTTGAAATGATAATTCAGAAAATCAGTGCATTGGTTCAGGATCACAGTCATAAAACTGAAAGTGATCCTGAGCATATCTGAAAAACATGCCAGTGAGGACAAAAGAGGGGAAAGTTGCACTTTTGTAACCAAAACTTTAGAGAAAACCAGGTTGAACCCATTTCTCCTCCTCTATATTTCTGGCTGTAGTTGAACAGATTTGCAAACAAGTTCTTTTCGTCTGAGCTTAGAAAGGTTGCCAGGTCTGTGTGGGTCTGTCTGCAGTAGGTCTGAGCTTCAGTCCAATTCAGAGATTTATTAACAAAGTGGTAGACAGGCTGAAGAAGGAGGCAGGTGGAGAAAATGACCCCATCTGGAAAATAAATGAAAGACTTTAAATTTTTGTTTTGACCATCTCCAGATGAAAAGATGAAATCACTGACCTGAGAGAACCAAGATTCCCAACAAGATCCTCTCCATCGTGATGCTGCTCTGCAGTAGAAAGTCCTGAGGATCTCTGAAAAGCAATATGTCTTTTTGCTTTATATAAGGATAGTGGCCTCTTTGAATGTCTGCATAATTCTGTTAAATTACGCAACAGAATTCAACAGAATTGTGCAGACATGCAAATTTTGTTAAGTCCCTAAACAAATCTCTCATTAGAAAAAGAAACAAAGTCATGAATGACAAATTAAGCTGCCCATGTGTTAGGATCTGTGTTTTCTGTGTAGTTATTTTTTTTTAGGTTTTTCTGTGTTAGTCCAGTTTCCCCTGTGAATCTGTCTTCCCTGTTGATTGCTCCCAGCTGTATCCAGTTCCCTGATTACCTTCCCTGATTACCTTCCCTGTGTATTTAACCCCACCTGTTGTCTTTGTCTGAGTCGGATCCTCGTCGTGTGTTATGTCGTCAGTCTGTCCCCTGTGCCGTCTCTGTTGGACTCATCATTAAAATTAATTATTTTCATCATCATCCTGGGCCTGCCTGCGTCTCATCTCACCTCACCAAAACCTGAATCATGACAGTATGTAACATTGACAGTCTTTGTTTCCAGGCAGTCCTACAGCTGCTCTCAGGTACATATACGTTATGGAGCAACTTGCATTGTATATTTTTATAAAAATCTGGAAATGCAAAATAACTTAATGTATTAAAAGTTTAGATTAGAGATGTGCCGATCAGGTTTTTTCCTGCCGATACCGATCACATAATTATTATTATTTTTTTTTATCATAAACACTACCGGTTACATTATGTGGAAAAAGGAACCATGAAATCACCTTTATTTAGACAAAAACTTGTTTTTAATAACTTTTTCCAAGAAGAAAACTAAACAAAACAGGCATTGTGCAAATTGTACTGCTATTGATAATACTATCTTTAACAGACTGATAACATATGAAGGCTAAGAGGCTAAATAATACAAAGAGCCAAAATAAAACCTCTCAACATTGCCAAGAAGTTCAAGTATAAAACTTAACATGCAAAGGCAAAAACAGTTTCCATTACAATAAACAATCCAGAGTTACTGAATGAAAACTTCCTGATAGCAGTGCGTCTATCTCATTCCTGCTAGCTCTGATTGGCTGTTTCTGACTGAGCGGAGTAATTATGCAGGACTGGGAGGAGATCGATTATTTTTTCAGAGATTATCTGTCTCATGTTAGGACAGCCAAAGTTTTAATATGTATGTAAAATGTATTTTTTTAGGTTAGATGCTGCCGCTTTAAACAGAGATTTGGTGTGAGAGTCACTACCAGGTGGAGCAGAAGCGGCGCTCCGTCTGTCAAATATTACTACCTGCAGCGTAGCAGCGGTTCAACAGCGAGAGCAGAACCAGCGTCTTACATCGCAGCTCGATGACTTAAATAATTTCTCGGGTTATTTGTTTAGCTTTCTGACCGTCATGCTAATCCGGGTGAGTGTTTGTAGCTGTGCGCTGCTTTACCTGCTATCTGATCCTCCGTATGTCTTTTTTACTGCAGTGAGCCTCGATGTAGCCAATCTCCGTCAAGTATGGCATTGTTTTTATGCCATATTAGATTCATTGTGTTGATGCATTTGGACGTGCTTTAATTTTCCACCGCAACACGCAAACTTCCCCATTCACTCAGTGCGTTATAGTTCCGATTTGTTGCTGCGTGTTTGCGCAGTGTGAAGGAAAGAGGAGACCAGCTGCACAGGCAGGCTGCGAAATGAGATGATCGGTATCGGCAACAAGAGCCAATGATCACCGATCATGCACTTTTTCACGGAAAACGGCCCGATTATAATCGGTGACCGATCGATCGGCACACCTCTAGTTTAGATGAAAACTAGCTATTCCTGTATCCACTGAATTTCATGAAATCTGGCACAGATCACCTGGAATACTTTAAATTCTCAATCATAGGGTAGAAGACAAGTATAAGATTTCACACAGGGAGTTTTATTCAAAGAACTAACGTTGTTGGAGGTAGAGGTCCTCAGAAATAAGTACATAAAAATGATACATATTGCAAAAACGGGTGCTGTATCCTATGCTCACAAACAGCTTAGGATGTTGGCTATTTTTAATATGCTCTAACTGCTCTTCCATAATTTTAGAGACAAGGTAAGATTTCTAATTATTCATATCAGTCTTAATTATACAAAATAAACTTGACAGTTTAGGTTTTGTTTTAAAGCTGCAGTATGTACCTCTTTGTTAACCGTACACTTAGACTTGCTCTCTTCTCCGTCCACAGCCCCTCCCACACAGAGAAAACTAGCAAGAACACGCAGGCTAGTAAATAAGGCTCTAGGAGGTTGTGGTATTGTGGTAGTTGAGGTGGAGAAGTTAACACAGTGGACCCAGGTCTAAATGAGAGAATTGATGATTTAATGGTAAGAGACAAGATACATAATCTAGGCAGCACAGGCAAACAAAGGCAATTAGCTCTCACGCTGGTAGCAACGGGCTGAAGACAACTGACAATAGACAAGGACCCGACAGGGAAACATAGACACAGGTGTAAATAAATACACAAGGGCGTAATGAGAGATAGCTGGAGAGAATCAAAGGGTAGGCGGGGCAACATGGCGACTTAATTAAACACACACCTAAATAAACACACCGAAAAACCAAATCCTCACAGGAATAAACCTACATGAGACAATCACACACTTACCTCCTCTGTCAACCACTGATGTGGACTAAGAGTACACAGATCTGAACGATGTATGACAATGCTCCGACCTTTAATTTGTGAAGGAACAACTGTTTTTCCAAAGCAAAATTAACTAGAAATCAGATATACACACACAAAAAAATCAAACCATACATTTAAAAATTATACAATAAAAATAGATATTTTAAAACATTAAAATATGCTAAACATCCATAATAAAGAAAACTGCAAAACCACACAGAGTGTGCAATGTAATACATAAATGTTATCCCTTGTAAGCCACCTTATGAAACATTGAAATGCAGGTGAAACATAATCT